AATATTACTATATTAGTTATTTATTAATATTTATTACGGAAATTTACTATATATTATATTCTAATAATATTACTATATTAGCTATTTATTAATATTTATTAAATTATGGAGAATTATTAATATTTATTATGGAAAACGTAGAACTGTAATTAATTACAAAGAAAATTGGAGGACGAAAGTATTTATTGTACTAGAAGTAAGGAGAATGAAATCGATACACCAAGAGTTAAAGGAGAGATCAAGCAAAGAATGCCATAGTTTTAAAAGAACTCACCCTATTGATGACGAAATGAAGGGGTTGGCTCTTCCATCGTACCGTAAGGACGTAATTTCCAGGCTGGGAGGCACAGTCCCGGACCAGGAAGTCACCGTCGTTCGGTACTTCCGCTTCAGCGCCCTTCCGACCACCCCGAAGAGTGCTGCCATGATACCAGGCGTGCGATCTTAGGTCCCTGGGATCTAAAAGTCGAAGTTCTCGTTCCAGAAGTTTCCGAGTCGACTCTTCGGGTGGATCCTAAATCAGATAAGCAAAACGGTGAATTTTAAACGAGGTGACGGTATGACGTCAGCTTGAGACATCGGAATTTCAACGAGAACTTTGTAATTAGCATTTTTTAAAAACATCAACGGCGTTAAAATGATCTCTCTCTCCTCTCTCTCTCTCTCTCTCTCTCTCTCTCTCTCTCTCTTTATAGAATTGTTATAGAAATTCATTTATAGAATTGTTATGGAAATTCATTTATAGAATTGTTATAGAAATTCTTATAGATTCGTTCTTTGTGACTCAAAATATTTTTTCGAAATTTTCGATTGTTTAAGAATATTTTTTCTCATTTAGAGAGCGTATTCAATTTTTTTTTTATAATGTAATAATAAAGCTTCAGCAGAAGTTTTATTATTATTATTCTAAGCGACTTCTCGCATGAGATAATCGCTATGGTCAACGAGATAGAGTGTCTGGACGAGACTGCAAGATTGGCTTAACAAGAACAGCCTTGAGCACTCAGTCCATAAAGGGATCAACGAAGTCATCGTTCATGCACACAACTTATCAACGGCTCAGAGTGTCACGCGTAAAAGCTGGATCATCGAGTCGGCAGCATGAACGAATCAATTATCTGGTTTCTTCGATGAGTATATTACTTCTCATCGCCATATCTCCGATAAAATTGTGCCTCGTTAATTTGATAATTCTAAAAATAATTCTAAAATGGTTCTCTGTCCCGTAGCATGCACCAGCGTGACTACTTTTTCGATATACGTATTAAATATCTTCATAGAAACACGATTGCTAATACATCTCGCAAACAATATTAGAGAATCTGAAAAATTCATTAGAACTTTCCACGGATCATTATCAAAATCGTTTCATCATCAAAAATGGGTGTTGTCGCTGAACAAACCCTCTCGCATGTCCACACCCTTTCCCATTCGTTATCATTCGTCGTCACAGAGTCTACAGTTTCAAAGTCAATCGAATCCCCGAATAATAAATTTTATAATAAATGGGCACACTCACCATTGGTAGATTGGAATAGTCGTTGCTGTTGGCCCTGTGCGCGTCGCAGTCCTCCCTTCTGGCCGCCACTTCCTCCTCCGCCTCGTCGACCTTAACTTCCAACGACCTACGTCGAAAAAGCCTCTTTAAACGTGAGTCGCTTACATCTTGCCAATTGTCCACCCCCTTGTTCGTAAACTTCTTCCTTTTAATCGCCTCTTTCGTTTGAAATGAAAGAAGACTATCATCTGTTCCAGATGCTATCAGGAGCGCGACATTTAGAGTCGCGAGGAGTCAGTGAGGAGGGTTCTGCCACACCGACCACTCTGGCCGAGCGCGCACACCCTACTGAACTATGAGCCTGGCAAGCGGCAAGACTACTATCCGCCAGGGCTGTCTTTTTGGCGGATAGTAGTGGGGGGCTCGGGATATTAATAGAACAACCTGGGGACAAAATCGATTCGGTCGTCCAGCCAGGGAAAACCATTTTCCTTCCTTCCCCCCACCCCAACCCCCACCCCCGTGGGATATTGGCAATTCTGCTTCACCGCGAATCTATTTCAAAATTCCTCTTGTTTTCTTATACGATCTTATACGAAAAATAGTATGGTGTTTTTTTCGTTAGTATTAGTAATCCTATACTAACAAAGTAAAATTAGTTAATAACCCTATGCTAACAAAGTAGCAAAATTAGTTAATAACTCTGTACTAACAGAGCAGTAAAATTAGTATAGCGTTGGTAATAGTAGGTTAGTGTATATTAGGATAATTTCGTTAGTAATGATTTTTCCTTGAAACTGTCAGTCTCGATCTTTCTAGCAGAAGAAATGGGGCGTCTCCTATAAATAGCTAAGATGAAAATAGTACGTCAGAAAGAAAGAAATTATTAAAAAAGCTAAACTTTTGGAGTCAAGCACGATTCGAGTTAAATCATACAGGAGTCGAGAAATCATTTGAAAATTACTAAAGAAACTAAATTTTTTAAATCCTGAACTTAATCTATCAAAGTTAAAGGATTATCATCCATCAAAGTTAAAAAATTAACGAAGAAATTAATAAAAAAAGTCAAAGAAAATAGTACGTCAGGAAGAAAGAAATTAATAAAGAAGCTAAACTTTTGGTGTCAAGCACGATTAGAGCTAATTCATCCAGGAGTCGAGAAATCATTTGAAAATTACTAAAAAAAACTAAATTTTTCAAGTCCGTCTGAACTTGGTACATCAGGATTAAAGGATTAACGAAGAAATTAATAAAGAAAATCAAAGTTAAAAATAGTACGTCAGGAAGAAAGAAATTATTTAAAAAGCTAAACTTTTGGTGTCAAGCACGATTAGAGCTAATTCATCCAG